GTCACTATCAGACAGACAGTATTTTGGGAGGGAAGAGCAAATTAAGCTCCATACCTGCTTCAATCTGAAAAATCCACAGGTGTTTGTTTCCATCCTTCCACTGTGAGAGGACAACTCAATGCTATGGGTCTGAAAAGATGCGTAACAGACAAAAAAGAAGACCACATGTACTAGAACACCAAAACTGGATTTGTGGACTAATGAGTGCAAATTTGAGATCTTTATAATAATAGAACTAAGTATATATTCCACCAAAGCAATGAAAGAGTCTTAGAACCATATCTCTGCAGATTTCTGAAAAACTGAAGAATAGAATGGAAGATATAATGAAGGCAAGAGGGAGCACTTCAAATACTGGGAAAATTGGTTGTTGAGGCTTCTGTGTGATTTTCTGTTAAATATTTATTTAGCAGAATATCACACAGAAGCCTCAACAACTAATTTAGATTTTTTTTTTTTCTTATGCTGAAAAACAAATAACTAAATGGCAGTTGTGACTGGAAATTAAATAAATGAAAGGTGATGTCTCACTTTTGCAAAGTACTGTATTCAAGAATTTATTTTAGAGTGTGAACTGCTTGGACACACCATTGCACACCTTGACAGAAGACGACAGGCCAGTTCAAGCATAAAGATCCTCTAAACCATTTTTTAATTTGCAGTAATATGCACATCATTTGTTCTGTATGGAGAGTTACATTTTTACATAATTTTGCATCAGCCATAATGTTCTTTCTTTGCATTGTAGGAAGAATAGCCTGTGCTATTTAATGATTGGTCAACCTCCAGAGAACACTGACCCACTTAAATGGAAAATAATTAGCTGCCATGCTATTCACACACCCCAGTCAAATTAACACAGAACATTTTCTGCAGATAATCACACATGTCCTTTTCCTTGTTAGCTCAGTTAGACGCCAGAGAAACAGCTCGAGACACGTCATCTGTGAGCCTAATAATACAGACAGCATACAGTTTGTGCTAATTATTCAGCTGAATTTAAAATAAGGGACAGCTAACACCTTAGCTAACACCTTAGTTTTACCTCAAGTCAGTACATTTTGTTGAAGAATGAAACTGCAAGAAAATCTGGAGGTGACTCACCATAGAAACTTCCATTCTCTTCATTCTATATTGGTATGCAGCTTGAGAACAAACTGTTATTGCACCATTCTTATTACGTATGAATTCTTGCATGATTCTTGCCGTCGTGTTGTTTCAGAGGCCTTCGGACTATGCAAAGTATTGCACTGACAAATAGTAAACAACTCCAGAAATGTTAGTTATTGTTAGTGCATTCACATACAGTTGTTTCAGAGCTTTGTGAGTTTTTTTAGCCAGAACAAAGTGTGCATAAGCATTAGCATTCCAACATATAGAGCTAAGGAAGGGGCGGAAATATGTATCAGGCTTTGAAACTCAGACAAGATGATACTTTAGAAACCGAAATTGTAGATAGTCTAAAACTGGCATGTTTGTGTTGCTTGAGTTCTGTAATCCAGCACATTGTATTAGAAATGAAACAATAAATGCGTTAAAGTGCAGAAAATCAGCTTTAATTTGAGGATATTAAAATCGGTTGAACCTGTAATAGACAAACCAAGTTTCAGAAACAGAAAGTTTCTATTTTGTGAAAAAGTACATAAAACTCTATAGTTCTAGCAAGATATAATAGACTGAAGAGGCAAAGATGAACCTGAATCAGGAGCTGCTCAAGATCCAAAGCAGATCATCTTATCTGTGAAACATGGTGGCGTGAGCACATGGCTGCCAGTGGAACCAGAACACTTGACTGTTGATTGATGATGTGACTGACAGTAACATCAGAAGCGGTTTGAATTCTGATGTGTACAGAAGCATCTTAACTATTCAGACCCAATCTTATTCCTCAAAACTCAGCAGGTTGTGCTTCACCTTGTAGCAAGAAAATGACCAGAATCACGCTGTTAAAGCAATTAAGGAGTTTTTCAAGGGCCAAACAGTGGAATGTTCCTCACTGGCTAAGTCAATCACCTGACTCAAACCCCACTGTGCATGAATTTCATTTACTGCAGACAAGTTGTAAAACAAATCATATCAGAAACAAGCAGAAATGACAAAACCTGCATTAAAGGACTGATAGAGCATGACTAGGAAAGTCTGGTGGTATCTCTGGGTCACAGACTTCAGGCAGTCATCAGTTACAAGCCAATTTCTCTGAAGTACTAAATGTTCCAGTGTCATTTAAGATTATGTTAATTTATCAAATTACTTAATGAGATGTAAATGACACTGTAAATACTTTCAAAATTAAAGCTGACATTCTGCACTTCAGCATCATCATCTGTGCATCATTTATAATCCAGAGTGATGAGGTAAAGAGTCAAAACCATAAGACGAAAATCTTCTATCAGAGATGGGCAGACATCTACAAGCAAACCAACTAATAAGACCTGGTTATCTCCAAAGAGCATTAAAGATAAAGAACATGCAGACCAGTCATTAAGTTCATGATATTCGTTTTACAAAGTCAGAACAAACAGCAGGAAAAATACAGAAAATTACAAAAAAATGCCTCAACAACTAATGATACAATTTTTCAGCATTTAGTGTGTCCACACTTTCCCTTTATTACAGCTTCTGTTCTTTTCAGGAGAGCTTTCAGCTCTTCGAAGAAATCTGCAGGGATATTTTTCACCCTTCCTTCTCACATTCCAAATAATCCCAAATACATTCAGTGATGCTGAGGTCACTAAATATAGTGAGGTCATTTCCATCGTTCCAATCTTAAAATCAAAGAGTCACAGCTGTCTTCCCTCCCAAAAGAGTATGTTCCCCTTCAAAGAGATTCTAACATTCACACAACTACCCAAACACACCTTAGCCGCCATCAAATTTAATTCTAAAAAGGCTAAAGTAGGAGATGTTTCTAAGGAAATGATCCGCTTGAATATGGAAGGGGAAAGTCAATTGAAAATAAGTGAGTAAGTTTACAGAACTAAAGTTTGATAAGCCATTAAAAATACAGAGGAAATAGGATTCCTAACAACTGTGCAAGACCTGGTAGACCACCAAAACTGTCAACCTCAGATAAACAGTACTTAAAGCTTTCATCTTTGAGAGAGAGGAGAAAATCAAGCTCCACTCTTGCTTCAGATCTGAAAAGATCCACAGGTGTTTGTCCATCCTTCCACTGTCCAAGACAACTTAATGCTACTTAATGGTCTGAACGGATGTGCAGCTGTCAAGAAGCCCTTACTGAGAAACGAAATACACAAAATAGAAGATAATTTGCAAGAGAACACTGAAAATGGACAGATGAGATGTTTAATAAACAGAGCCAATGGGCTCAATTTACGCAAGGGCCTCGTCTCCCCCTCATGTCAAAGATGAGAGGATGTAGCGTAACTATCCATCTGGTCACAAAAAAAGAGAAAAACAACACCATGAGAGTGAACTGCAGGAACAGCAATTTTGATGTTGGCGATTAACAAAAAAGTGAAAGTGAAATACAACAATTTATTACGTTTGATGAATGCCAGCGACAGTGTTTACAAACTGCAGCTCAGAAGAGATAACCACATCTCGCATAAACATGTTATTCATGTGTGCATACACAAAATGAAACCCATGCTTTGCAGCAGTAGCCTCTGTGGAGGCCAGACCAGTCCAGATAATATGTGGGCATGAGGCACACTCTTCATAGCCACACATAATAATAAAACAAGGCAATGATTATCTAGTCTATCAGTCAAGGCTTTGTTACAACTCTGGACATTGACTGTTGATTAAATATTGAATTTAAATGTTGATTAGCGGGTATACTGGGCTATTTGGATGCACATCACTCAGCAAATCATAACTATCAATTATTCAGCCAAGCCATAGTATAAACAGTATTTTATATTTAAAAATGTATAAAAGGAGCCAGTTTAAATGGGACTGATGCAGCTGGTAATATTAATAATAGTATTATCTATACTTTTTCAGGTGCTGTGCTTAGGTGTGTCAGTAGAGGGGTAAATATTGAGGGTTTGATAAATATTCTTTGTTTATACCTCATTGCATACATCTTATTTTTAGACTGACAGATGAAGCAAAGTGTTTTAATGGAGAGAGGATTGTAGTGGGAGTGTCAGGTGTGACTGTGTGGCAAATGCAAATGGTTTATATGGCTCACGGGTCAGCTAGGAGGGCCCCTTTGTAGAATTTTACTTAAGGCCCCAGGGAGATCAGGACCAGCTCTGGGGGTGAAGTTTTATGAACTGAGTCTAAGTTTGTTATTGGTTAAGTAAAATCATTAGAAGCAGAAAATGCAACCAAGTTCTAAGACTGAACTTTGGAAGTGTGGAAAATGCTGAAAATTAATAACTTTGACCAGACATTTAGTTGCCTGCATAAATCGGTGGTCTCTGACTTTTGCACAGTACTGTATATAAGTTGAAATTCATAATATAATTTTAAGCTGGATAAATGTACATGTTCCACATTGTTTATGACCAGGCCTACTGACACAGATGTAGATTAACTTCAGCCTTAAAAAATGTCTCATAATATTCTAAAATTGAAAGATTGGGATTGATTAGTTATCTTTTTCTCTCTTTCTTTCTCACTGGCTCTGTTACTTTTGCAGAACAAGTTACATCTCCACATGCCTTTACCTCTCTTCCTGTCTTTATATAAACATAGCGTAGAAAATTACTGCAGAAAGCATTTTAGGCAAGCGAACACCTTTTACTTTGTGCTAAATCACAGCTTTTGTCTTTGGGATTATCTGCTTGAAGCAGTCCAGTGTTTCTCTTTTGTAGATACGTAGCTTTCTAATGAGATTGTTGACCCTTCAACCTGTGCATTTTTTCCATATACTTGATGATTTTATTCCCCAGTTCTTCATCTTTTTCAGCTCTGTAGACACACAAACAAATGGTAATTGACCGCGCACTTTTGACACGCTGTATTTGAAATCTTTGAAATCTTAAAGTAAGAAAACTGCTGTTTGTCTTCTTTTTCTTCTCCTACAGAAATGTTGAAAGAATTGAACCAGCAGCGGCGAGCGAAAGAATTTACAGACCTGAAAATAATTGTTGAAGGCAAAGAATTTGAAGTCCATCAAAATGTTCTAGCTTCCTGCAGCTTGTATTTCAAGGACATGGTTAAAAGGTTTGCCTCTCTCCTGTTGTTGATCCACTCTGTTCTTTTCGTAGGGCGCATTTGTGTGGCTTTCTTTACCTTCCCCTTCTCTTGCAGGTGTGAAGACAGAGGTTCCTGTCACAGGGCCAGTAGCCATTCCTTCTGTCCCTCAAATGAATGTATTTCATTGTTGAAAAAGGTCAACACTTATCCTGCCCTTTCATCTCCACGGACTAAACGAGCAAATTTACATTTTAATGGGCAAAAAAGTTCCATGACTGGGGATTTTCTTTTTAAATGTATTGTAAATGTCAGAACAAAATGGAGGAGATTTTGAGCAACGCGTCAGGCATATCAGATCAGCACTTCACTCTGCCTCTCCCGTTCAAGTGTTTGGAGGTGTAGTGCTAGCTATCCTGAATCATTGGTTACCTGCTGTGCTTCAGTGCATATCTCTCTGGGAGCCTGCATGCCAATAATTCATAGATCCACACAGAGCATGTGGTAAGAATAAACACAACTTTAATACGCAACATTTTCTCCTCATGTTTTGTGAAATATTCTTTTGTTCGAGCTTTAGGAGAAAACTGGGAATGTCCTTTTTTGACCATCTCACAGCTTTTGGTTTGAAACTTGGCATCTTTGCCTCGTCTGTGAATCTTAGTAAATCTGGATTTTTCTTCTGTGGAAAGTACATTAGATGTTGCATGCAAGCAATAACTTCATACACTGTCAAGTATATCAAAAAGTATCCAGACGTCCCATCCAATCAGTGAATTCAGTTACTTTTAGGCCACACATAAGAGGCAGAAATTATGACTTGGGTCCTATCAGACATTTTTCAGATTAAATTGATTAAATTGCATTTAACACTTGTCTTTTTCTAAACTGTAATTATAAAAGTGTCCAAAATTAACACTTTATAGTATTTAACTAGAATATCACCAAAAGAAAAACAAGTGTCTCCAAAATGGTAAGTTTACAGAAGAGGACAAAAAACGTTCTTTACTTTCAATGGGAGTTATTGTAAAAAAGTTTTATTCCATGTGTTCTGTTGGTCCATTCATCATTTCACTCAATTTAAATGACATCTTCCATGCTCAAATGGTGTAGAAAAATAAAAATTGGCAAAAATGGAGATACATGTTTTTCTTTGGACAGTGATGATATCATGTCTATTTCTACTGCACTGATGACAACATTCAGACAAATGGTGCATGTTTTCTGAGATCTCACTTCCATGTAATGCAGTTTGAGGCCCATTCTTTTAATCACTTTTCTCAACAATCAAGACCAAACAGTCTCAGCTTCTAGAATAGCTACATTCACACTTATTAACTTTTACATGTTCAATCCTAACTCTGTGTGAAGGATATTACAGACAGATTTTCTAATATATTGCGCATAATTGGAGTTATGCTTGATTTTGTTTAAAATATGACCTGAAAAACAGTGCATAGTGTTTTCTTGATTAAATGATAAAACACTGTGATCTCAACAGTCTGTTCTGTAAAATCCTTTGTCTACAGTGTTAAAGATAAAATTTTAATTTTAACATTATTTAAAAGCTAGATTTTTTAACATGCAAATGTTTTTTTTTAATAGATAAATCTATTCATCTAGAACTAATGTACATATTTAAATATTTTTTTTGCATGGCTAATAGAAAAATAGAAATAGAGAAAAATGTAGGAATATTAATAAAGTAACTTTAAATATTCATTGTGATACCTTATAGTGTCTGTACCCTGTTCACATGTAGTGTCTCACCTTTAAGGGTCCATATCATGGAAAAACAAATTTTCCTCCCTTGTTTAAATGAAAGAGTTTGATGTAGCATATAAACACTGCTAAAGTTTAAAGATATGCCATTCACTCCCTTGTCCATACAGTCTATATGGAAACTAAGCTGCAAAAAGGGCCCAGTTTTAATTTATTGTTTCTGGAATGTCATAAAAACCAACACTTCCATACACCCACACATTCAGCCTACAGCAGTTTAGCTCTGCTCATTCTCGCTGAAGTTATAAGGAGTGTTTCAGCCTGGGCTGCTTTTTGAATAAGTCACAATACAGGACAGCAAATCAGAACAGAGCTCGTTTACATGTATTAATCTTAAAGGCACAGTAAGAAAAACACCCTGTTTAATACTTTGAGATAAAGAGAGGTTGGAAAATGGTAATTTAAAAATAAATTATTATATTGTTAACTGGTTTCGTACATTAACCCACACAAATATATTAATATTATAAATATATAAAAGAAAAAGGTAGGATATGGGCCCTTTAAGGTGCACTGATTGCTGCCAATCTCCATAGAACAGCATTGCCAATAGTATGGGATGCTCTCGGTATAAAGCCTCCCAGTGGAGTGAAACCAGTTGAGCTATGTTCTCTGGAGTGATGGAGCACCATCTTTATTATGAGTTAGAGTTCTGTTTGTGATCCAGAACTAATCATCCCTCATCATACCTGATCTAACTAATGCTCTTGTGGCTGAATGCAATCAAATCCTCACAGCAATGTTCCAACATTAGTGTAAAGCCTTCACAGAAGAGTAGAGGCTGTTAGTACAGCAGAAAAGTGACGAAACTCCCTCATAATACCCTTAATTCCAGAAGAAACGTGTCTGCATACTTTAAGACACATAGTGCATGTTGAGGCATGTTACTTTATTATTCATCAGCACCTCTTTCTCCTTAAAAAGCCATCTCTGCAGTGGCATTGTAAGCCGATGAAGTGATTAGATGAAGGATGCCGCTTTGTATCCAACAGCAGTGCCAAACAGACATGCACAATAAAAGAAGCACGGCAACTAGTCTGCAAAGACTGAGAGCCTTTTTTGAACTCCGCGATGCAGAGATGCCTCCACTGATATTAGTTTCTTAAGAAGAAAAGCTTTTAGAGGTGAAAGAGATATTGATTGTAAAAATGTCATTTTGTGATCTTTGGGATATGTGATAAATGCCATGTGTGGCTCCTAAAACATGTACTCAAAGACATGTGAGAAAGGAGAGGGAATGAAAAGATTAAGTAAACGCTGGATGTGCCCTGGGAATGAATGACAGCCTTAGAAAAGAAGCAGAAAAACCTGTGAGGTAGCACTTTCTAATCCACTTTTCTGTTATCTAAATGAATATTTATGCTTTTTTTCTTTTTTTTCAGTAGTGAATGCACATTGAATTAGTAATCTAAATGCCGATTTGTATGCTTCATCTAATGCATACATCCCAGTCATTCTGAAGTTGCAGTTAGCTATTGATTCCAAGGTTAAAAAAGCAAGCCCATTATATCACGCCATTAACTTGTGCAATGTAACACTAGGGTAGAGAATGTTAATACTGCTACATTTACATTCATCCGTGCAAGCCCAATTTCTATAATGCCCTTATTACGCATCATACAAGATGCAGTGAAGCCTCAAGGACAAATTTAAAGTGGAACTTTGGCCCTTTAGATTGTGAATTTGGTCTGGGCCTTGCTATACTATCTTGCGAGCAGCAGCTTTGAAAATTGCATTAGGAGCAATAAAAGTGAGTGTAGATTTGACTCTGTTCTCAGTGGAGCACAAAATGTGCTGATACACTTCTCAAAGCTATTTGAGTTCCACTGCCGCTGGAAGGTGGAGGAGGAATAGGTTTAGCCTTAGAACATAGTTTTCACCCAGAATATACTGAGCACTCAAATGACAATGATTGTTGAAAGCTAAGGTTGCTGTATATTCCCCTGGCAGACGATGAAAATACATCAGTGTCATGCTCTTACTTTGTACCGGAGATCGCAAACCGATGACTGACTTTAACCATAGATTGTCTGTGTTCATTTAAGTTAGCGGGAGTTTTGAGACTGTATTGCAGTCGTATGCAGAAGTTTTAGCGGCTCTGATCAAATTATGTTTTGTTGAGTTTCTGTGTGAAATTAAGTAAACATACTGAGAAATGTAACATATTGATACATGAAAACAGAACATAAAATGTGGCCTGTGCAACTGTTATGGCACCTTTTATATTTTATGCAAAAAATCCCATAAAAGCAGTCAAATTAAATGCTTTGTTAACACTGCATGATAATTCAGCACCTCAGACTGCAGGCAATGGCACATCAGTTGTGTTAGACTTGCAATTATCTGCACTGATTTCTGGGCCAATTAAATTATCTGCACTGGTTTATGGGCCAATGCAAACATTTACACTGATTTGTGTTTTATACACTCTAAAAAACACCTTTGGTTCTCTAAGTAATGTTGCAGTGGATAGTTCTTTAGAGGAATAAACCAGCATTTTACAACTAATTTCTATCCACTGCATATGTAGCATATCGCTGCTGTATCTCCATTTTTGTTGTTTTTTGGTTTTTGGCATAATTTGAAAATACCTGTCGCCCTTTAGATTGTGTGTACATTTCATGATGAACGGACCAAAAGAAACAGCCCAAAATGACTTGGAAAAAATTCTGGTCCCATTGACTTACATTAAAAGTAAAGTATGTGTTTTCCTTCTCCTGTAAAGTTACCATTTTGGAGATACAAGGTTTTTGTCCGACAACAGCGATATGGTTGATTATTTATACACTTTTCTCTGTATTTAAGCTGTAAAAAAGTCAAAAGTCAGATCAGCTTCAAGTTTTATATCAACCTTCTGCATAGATAAGATAATCCTTTATTAGTCCCACAGTGGGAAATTTCACAGTGCTACAGCAGCAAAGGGATAGCAAGGCACTCAAGAAAAGAAGTAACAAGAAGAGAACAAATGTTAATTACTTAACAAGGTTAATAGCTTTTATAGTCAAAAAAATTCTGCGTAACTTAGTTTAGTCAAAAGTTTACTTAAAAAAAGAAAGCACAATTTTAGTAATACATCTTAGGTGAAGTAAACATTACAAAACAACTTATTTAAAAAAAAGTTCAACGTATTTTTAAAAAAAAAAGAACAGTGAAAGTTGAAATTGCTTGCATTTCTTGTTGGATCTTTACTAAGCCCTTCAACCAATTTACTAATTCTTTTATTTTTCCCAAAAAAATGTTAAACTCTGCAAATGAATTGAAATTGTGAACTAAAATGTTGCAGAATATGGCATATTTAAGTTTGTTCTCTGTAGCAGGTGTGTTAACTTATGTTTACTTAGAAAATCAGCGATGTTATTTCAGACTTTTGCATGCGACTGCATATATATTCCATGAAGTCTGAAATCTGGCCTAAGCTCTTTCTATTCTGTCACTAGATGATGTTCAGAGGTTGATTTCTATACTGTCATTAACTCATGATTGGCTATTGTTCTCTGTTTTCAAATGAGGCTTTTGCGATGCTGGCAGCAAATGTATAATCCGCAAAGCTAAGCGAATCCATTGAGGACATCTCATCATGTATTCACAAGAAAACGTTGACATGCCATTTTGCATCTGACGGAGTCTTCGACTGAGCAAAAAGTCAGACACTAGACACAGTTTCTGCTTGATTATGTGCTTGTTCCCACTCAAGTCATGTATCTCCAAAGATTGTCTTAACTATTTTGATCTTTTTGAAGATGTTCCATTTCAAGCATATCAAATTTGAACAAAATATTGATCTTTTTGTGAACGATGCATGCAACGGGCTGCAATCACCATTTGGTATCAGAGGACCTGCAGGCCTAAGAGAGGCGTATCAGGCCTTGCTTTGAAAAGAGAGCTGGTCATTCATTGTCTGCTCGTCCATCATTTATTGCGCGTAAATGGAGCATGTTTATCTAATCATCTGTAAAGAGCACCTGCTGCGTTTGTCCTGCTCAGAGAAAAGCTGTATTAAAAAGCAAATCACCTCTTTAGCAAATCAGCCGTACAATATGCAGATACAATCTATTTAGAGTCTGTTTTGTGATAAAGCGATAAAGATATGAGAGGTAGCCCTGCATAAAAAAAATCACATTCCTCCAGAGATCCCGTATCATTTATTTTTTTTTTTCGTTGTTGTGCTTTTTTAATGAATATTTACTCTGTGCCTCTGGCAGTCCATCCATCATGAGCTCTGGCTTGATTCTCACTATAAGGAAATAATCAGAGTATATGAGGAGAAGTCGGAGGTTACAACACAGAGTGAATATAGTTACTTCTACACTCCACTCTAGCATAATAGGTCTTTATGCATGTTGCCTGTCTCTCCTTTCATGAAAATACATAAGCACACATGCTTTATTCATGCAGCTATAGTAGGATGTTCCCTCACGTTGCAGAAACATCAAGTATAAATAAGCAAAGCATGCATATTTTCGGGTTTCACACCAGATTAAATGACCCCTTTTTCAATTAAGGGAACAGTGGAATGGTTAACCAGCTACTACACACTGTTTCTGCTTCTTTCACTTGTGAAAAATGGGAATTGTTTTGCAATTACCATTCAGTCTCCCCAGTAACCTGACTGTGATTCCTCTGCTTTGACAGTCCGATAATGATTATGCTTATAGTCAGTGCAGGAGAAGAATGGTACATTTCCAGATCCATATATTTGAGAGCCAAATTATTGTTTGCGCTGCTAAAAAGAACAAAACTGTTTTCCAAACATGCAGTGTTTATAGAGCGGCTGCGTTCATTAAGCCATCAATTCATATTCCGCTAAGCGATTGACTGATCGTACAAAGGAGTCTGCTGACTTTTACTAATTTGATTTCTTTTTCCGTTCTTTCTTTCTCTCACGCACATCCTCACACCTCACTCGACTTGTCGGTTGCTTCTGCAGTTTCTTTTGTACTGTTTCTACTCCTGCACTTACAGCTGACAGCTATAAACTGCATTTGTTTTTTTTTTCTTCTTTTTTTCTTTTTTTCTTTTCAGGAGTAACATTCTTGATTTTCCAGCCACTTCCAGTGATTTACCCTCACCTCATACTGTACCTTTGGCTTTTTCCCCCAAGTCAGGCTTATATGACAACTAATACATCAGTTCGTACGCAGGCCGTGCTCGACTTTGTTTTGGCAGCAGCTGAAAGCTTTTGAGACTTAAGCCCAGGTCCCAGTCATGGAATGGTCCCTCCACACATGAAGGATGGCTGCTGGCTCCCTGTGGCAGGACTGACTCTCCACCCCTCTCCTTCCCTGCTCTCATCACTCTCCATCTGTCTGACTGTCTGTCTACCCTCATGCAAGATTTGTCTGTCTAACTGTCTGTCCATCCGTCTTCATATATATGCAATGAAAATAAATGCATTTGTTAACCATGCATGGAAATGCTAGACCTCAGACCACAGGCAGTGGCACATCAGTTGTGTTCGACTTGCAAGCATCTACACTGATTTTCAGGCCAATGCAAACATCCACAGTGATTTATGTTTTGTACTCACTAGAAAAATAAAGGTGCCAATAAGATTCTTTAGAGCGATGCATTAGAAAAACCACCTTTGGTTCCCATTTGCTTTCCACCAAATGAGTTCAACTGATGCTTCTTTAAATGAATGCTCCAGCATTTGCAACTTGTCTCTATCTGCCACATGTCTAGCGTATAGTTGATTACAATGGGCAATAATTTAGACACAATTACATGTATTTAGACTGTGAAAAGTCAGGCCAGCTTGAAAGTTCCAGTCAAGCTTCTGCACAGCTTTTATTTTTTCAACTTGGTTTAGACTTTTTTAAGTACTTCTTAAGTTAGGTTAACAAAACATTACCCCTTATAAGCTGAAACTGCTTACATTTCGTTTGTGAGATTTTACTCAGCTCCTCCCCCAATTTAGTCATTGCTAATAGGTTAAAAGTTGGGGTCTACCTTCACTTCGACTCCTGCCCATGGCAGGTCTGGGTGGCATCGCTGGGACTTGAAGTCATGACCTCTTGATGATTAGGAAGGTAGATAGTTGCGCCAGCGAGGAACCACAAAGTTGTTGAAATTCCTGTGTCCAAAAATAATGAAAAGGTGAATTAACTGTGTTTCAAATAGTTCTTCATGCATCTTTTAATTGAGTCTTTCTTTACTTTCATGCCCTCAGAGTGGCATGAATGTTTATAGATTATGAGTTCCAATCCCAGTAATGCCTCAGCCCTCCCAACACTCATTATTTTCTGAGTAAGCTCAACTTAAACTGTAAACTTAGATGTTGTACCAAAAATTCTAAGTTAGGAGAACTTTTGACTTGTGAAGAAGGTCGACTTCAAATTTTGAGTGGAACTGACATTTTTACAGTGTAGTAAAAGAACCTATTAACTCCAAACTCACTTCCCGTTAGCTTCATTTATAAGTGTTTTTTGAGTTGACAGGTGCCTGTAGCATTAATGAAAGAGCAGATAAAGATGAAGTGAAAAAATGCCGGAGCATTCCTTTAAACCTTCCATCGAAAGCTTCTTTAGGGAACGAAAGGTGGTTCTTCTATCACATTGCTCCAAAGAACCCATTTGTCACTTTTATTTTTAAGAATGTATGTGTTTGCAAAGAAAGAATATGGGAAGTAAGTGCAAACGAAAAGGCATTACAGCGATTTTCATGTCATTGCCAAGTGTGTCTGCACCAGATATGTAGCTGGCATTATGGTTTTTGTTAGCCACATGGCCTTTCATTAGCGTGTCACCATTGTGAGCTTTTTTGTTTCAAGAGGCTGTTTTGGAGGAGCTCTGTCTCACAGCACGCACCCAGATAATGGAAGGTTATAGTTTTAGACCTTCACCTGGAATCCATGAACACTTCTCCCCCAAACAGTGGATCTCAGGCTTGCAGAGCCTTCGCCTGCCACTCAGCTCTAACGAGATGTACTTATACCTATGGGCTTTTCCTAAACGAGCTGCTGCTCGATTAGCCTGGCCATCCAGCCTGCACTTCCCATATGCCTGTACATATATATGTATTATGCATGAAGATGCATAATGACCAATTCAGGTTTTCCCCTCAAGCTCTGCCACACTTCTCAGAGACAAGCTCACACTTTTCACTGAAAACTCTCAAGAGTTTATATTTCCAAAAAATAGGTCATTTAGAATCTGACTGCATGGCAGCTTTTAATCATTGCTCCCCTAACTCATCCTCTCTAACACTGTCCCATCTGCTGTCTCCAGGTTGGCCGGAGAGAACAGGAATGGTGAAAAGATGAAGATGACTATGAACAACATCAGCGCTGAGGTTCTGGAGCTGCTGCTGGAGTTTGTCTACACCGGCTCCCTCATCATAGACTCAGCCAACGCCAAAACTCTGCTGGAGGCAGCCAACAAGTTCCAGTTCAACACCTTCTGCAAAGTCTGCGTGTCTTTCCTGGGTAAGCAGCCACCGGGGCCAGTGTATCATGAGGTTTAATGTCATCTTCATGGGCATTGTGTGGGACATGCTCAGTAAATGCTCTTCTTCACACATGAACACATAAGAACTTAAGTGTCAAAGGGCCGTTTCAGCCTAAAACCACAGTTTAATATGTAATTTTTGTGTTATGCAGTGTTCTGTAGCTCATCATTGTGTCTCTCAAGCTCTATAGTGTCAACTAATCATGGCTGCTAGCCAAGCCACTAATCTGTAAGCTTATAAATACAAACAAGCTATCATTAATGTAGTCCTTTCTTATCAAACAAAACTGTACAGAAAACAGTGATTGTGTCTTTGTTCAGCAATAAATGGACACCTTTTTACTTTTACTAAAAAGGAAGCCAAATTGAGGTACGTTATCCAAATAGCTACCTTGCTAGCTTTAGCTTTTATCTTGTCGTTCGCCTCATCTGACATGTCACATATGTCATTCAAACAAAACCAAGACCAAGTAAACAAACCTGCACTTTTCCTACCAATCCACATATGCATTGCTTGTCACTGTATATTCCGTTTGAGAAATCCTCCAACGTGGAGTTTCTGCTGTTTTGCCATATTTTCCTTTCAAAAAATGGTGTGCGACTCAACAGGCTGTTGGGATTTTCTTTTCATTTCTACCTCACAGCAAAGTAGAGCCTCGTCTTCAACTAGAATAACCACACCCACCAACCTCCCCTTTATCCCTGCCTCTGCGTTTTCCAACGGGATTCCATAGCAAACACTGTTTCAGACATAAACAAGAATAAAAGTGCTGTCATTGGATGCCAGGTTCACAGTGATTCATGTTTTTAACCCCTAAATTGTACAGGCAAGTACACACCTGGTTTCAGTTTAAAGCTGGTTTTGTTTAACCTGAAAGAAGTAGCATTACTGAGAAAGAAAAAAAAGGAAACACACCAAAATATGGTGCGCATGCGCCACTGCAAGTCGCCCTGTAAAGCATGAAGTAATCATTTTAAGGTCTGAAGTACCAGAATGGATTTGGCGGGTGTTTTTGGACCACATCACACGTCCTTACATATGAATGTCACATGCACAGGCTGAAAAAGAAAGTACAACTTAATGTTTAGGTCTCAAATGCAAAATCAACATTAGACTGCGGAAGATATGATGACAGTGATAGATAATTCTTTCAAATCCTCAGAAGTCACATCCTTCACCTAGTTTTGACTGTTATTTTCAAATACTCTTTCAACACACTTGGAAAGGTTAGATTTATTCACATGTGGGGGTCTGAAGCACAGCTTATGTTACAAAATGTTATTTTGCACCTTGCGTGCAATTGCATAGTTTCACCAGAGATGTCTCCAGATACCCCAAATCCTATATGGTGTTGCTTTAACTGATAATATGTTGTGCCCTCTGGATAAATGTTTGCATCCCATTTGGGATATAAAACATCAGTTCTTGGCTAAACTCCTGACAAATAATGCAATGCCTAAGATAAGCACATGTTTATTTCATGTCTCTGATGGGTCTATATCGGACAGTTAACACTGAATTCCTGTGTGTTTGCTAAGTCAGCAAGATGGCATCATCAATAAACCATCATACACTCACAAAGTGAAACTGGGCTAAGAACATGAATGTAAACCCTTACCATCTGGAAAAATCCGGCTGCATCCTGGTCGGTGACTGGCCCTCCACAGCAGTCTCTTCATTTTCTCCAACTCCAGTTTAAACATAAGACCACCCTACAGCATCACGCAGCATCCAAAAATGCACAGAGCGTGACCAAAAAAGCAGACACTCCCCGTCGACTCGCAGTACTCTGCGACTAATTCCAAGCACTGTTCAGCTTCTCAGCATTTTTTGCCATTACTACAGTAATTTAAAGCCATATCAAGACCACAGAAGGCCACAGTAGATAGCATGTGACTTGAAATTTAGACAGAGAAGGGGTCAGTCTTGCCTCTGCTAATGTTACTAGCCTAGTCTTATCGTATCTTTCATTTCGAAAACAGCAAGGTGGTGAAGAGGTAGTAAACTGATCCCAAGCATGATACATGGTGTTTAAAGTTAATTTCATTAAATTTTAACAAGTGTAAAAATAAACTTGAACTTGTTGTGCGTTCCATAGCATCACTCTGCTACACGATGCTATACAATCTGACAATGCTGTGGTCTGCTGCAGCCATTTTTGAACTATACACAGCAGCACAATGACAGCCAGAGAGTCTTCTAATTTAAAAATAGAAAATGTTTCTTCACTGATGAAACAATTCTAGGTCAAAACACACTATACAAAAGCCCCGACTCATCACAGATGTCTTTTAAAGAGCACAAGTAAGTATATTAAACTTAAAAAAGACTAAATTAGTCTCCTTTAAAGAATCCATTTTCTCTGTTGTAATGATGATTTAAAGACAGTTACTACAGTTGTATGGCTGCAGTAAGATATTTGGCTTCCTAGCAATAATGTTAGTGATCTGCCTTCCTTCCACATTCTTTAAACCAAAAAAATCTCACTCTAGGGACTACTGCAGCACCACTGTAGGATGTGAGTAGGCCTATACACAGCAGATGTAGCGATGATTACATTTTTCATTTTTCCCAGAGTGTCCCTTTAAGGGCAGATCATATATTTGAGTCATTCCACCAGTTTTTCAAATCACATTAAACCCTTAAGCTGTTAGAAACCTTTAGAAGTCTAGAAGTCTACTGTTGTCTTACTATGTTATTCAAATGTACAGTCACATTCAGAAGTTTGAATACCTACAGTCAAATGACATCTTTTGTTACGTGATTTCTTTTAAATGAAACAATTAACACATCTTCTACAGGTAAAAAACTCACATGACATTTTGTCTGCACAATGTCTATTTATTTGCTGAATAAAACTAAAATATCAAGTGTGCCATAACTTTTGCACAGGCCACATTTTATGTTTTGTTTCCCAGTATTAAAATCAGCAAATAGGCAGGAATCATGCATTAAAATGTGCAGAAGTGGGTTTTCTATAGTGGACATGTTATTTTCACTTAGAAAATCAATGAAACGTCATTTGACCAGAGCTATCAAACTTATATATGCATATGACTGTAAATGAGTAGTTAGTTGCACATTGAATTTACATTCTATATTGACTGCTCTGAGTCTGCACGGTTTTCCTGTAGTCTTCCTGTATGTCAAGATGTAGCAAAAACATGTTTAAATATGTGCATTACAAACATCTAAACAGTTTTTTTTCTTTCTACAAAACAAGACTGTACATACAACAATAACTGTTCACATTCAAATCATGATAAAATAGTTCCCTTTTTCTTTTCAAACACAAATGTAGGACCAACAGAAAGTATAAAATCCCCAATTTAAACATAAATTCTCTGCTTCTTTCAATAAGCCATAAGTTATTAGAATTAAATTAATATTGAATTACACGAGGCACAGCAATAACTGTGTGTTCTAAGGGTTAAGCTTAATCCATCGATTTTTCTAAATTTCTGCATTAGTCAGTGGTTGAGATGTAAGCAAATGGTTGATCATAGAGAAACCTACCATCTTGGATTTCTTTACAGTGGTGCTGGTAGGAACCACATGTTTATGATGCAAATATAGCCGTTTTATTTACTATCCAAAAAGATCAGTGAATCTACATATGTCTTCTGAGTTTTTTATAGTGTATTTTATATGTTGATAATGATGAAATGGTGTTAAATCTCAAAAAATAAGTTTTCTTTGGGGACTATTTTACCTTACAGTGCCCTGCATGTGACTCACGTTTCTCAAGAACTGAGAATTTTACATCAAACTCCATGAATGGCTACATCTTAACCATTTAATTATGCAGACATTTTGAGAAATTGAAATTCCCTTTTAAGACTAATTATTCATTGGCTATCATGAATCGTTTGATAACTTTTATGAAACTAATATGTAAGTTTTGCATGTGTTATGAAAGTAAGGCATTGAAATGTGCCCTTACATGCAGGTCTTTAGAGTTTAAGAGGTTAAAAACATGTGGAAATTCAGAGTTGTTGTACTGCACTCATTGGTTATGCACCGTAGAATTCTTGCTGTTCTGCTTACAGTGGCAAAAAAGGTCTCATTCTTCGTATAGAGTACTTGTGATGTAGTGTTAATGAACACAGTGATTTCTAACCTATTGATTTCTGCTGCCCAGTGAGGAATGGTCTGTCAGGGATCAGGAAGCAAGCAGCAAAACTATCAGGGCACATTCATATATAATTTCCTGATATAAGACTCACTGTAATATCCAGTGTGGTCGACAGCTTTAAAAATGAAGATATGGACTCATAAATGTCCTTGTATATCTGACGTTTTTAAGCGCTTTGAGGAATTGTAATGGACCTTCCGAGTAAATCAGTGAATTGAATCTTCATCAGCCGCTGCTGCCGCCCCGCTCTCCTCTGAGACCGCCTTTCTCTCTCTGTGCCACACTCTCTTGACTGCTGATTGACAGGTGTGCACAGCACTGTCTGCTGTGGACTGAAGCGAGTTATTAGTACACTGGTTCATCAGTATGGTTATCATAACTGCTTTCACACTGGTTGGAAATGGATCTCTAGGCATTCCTAATAAAGTCCCACCGGGGCTGCTCGTATTAAATCCTGAAGAAGTAATTGCTAGTAACATGACCGCTTGTTGATATGGAATATGCTAGGCAGACGTCGCTCTCCGAGACAAACAGTACGGATCGGAACCATACATATTTTACCGTGGGTTCCTGTCAAACAGCATTGGCAGCCGTGGCAAGCATATCACTCGACTGGATTCTGTCTGTGGCGCTTTTTATGCATGACTGCTATACTGAAATATTGAAAGTGTTGTTCCCTTTGAATGCATAATGTCTCACTGTCTTGCCATGTGGGTTTTTCCTCGCCGCACATAAATTCCATCTTAGCAGTTATTTAGTGGCTCTTTTGTCCTTGTTTTAAATAATGCCCTTTTTGATTTAGGGGGTGATGAGAGAGTGGGACACCGTATTTGAATCGTTAGCCTGGCTTGCCACGTTTGAACACTCAAAAATCTGGATGGTGATAGGCGCTTTGACAGCTCAGGTTTGTTTTTTTCTTCCTCCAGTGCCTCTGTCATTGTCTCCCGCTGGGATATGGCACTTAATAATCCATGAATACCTCAATTGGTATGAAATGACATTCACTCCTGTAGGAATTCACTGCAGAAGTGCAGCAATATGCCTTCAGTATATATTCCAGTTCAATATGGAAAAGCCAAGTGTAAAAATAACCGCATTTGCCAGCGTGCTACATAGAATAGACGATAACACGTCTAACGCGCATGGAAAGTGTACTTTCAGAAAGTACACTTACTTTCATTTTTTGTATGAAACTTTATTTGCAGGGTCTCATGGTAACTTTGAAAGTTGTTGGTGTTGGGGTTCTTTGTTGGATTACTTCTTGCACTGCTTGAGCTTCATAACATTATTAACCCTTTAATGCTCAGGCAAGTAAGCTATTTCTGCCTCTTGGTCTGCTGTTCTTCCTTAATAATGCGATTTCTCAATGCTGCTGTGGTTTATTTATTTTTTGTTGTTTTTATGCTGAAAGCTGTTTAGAGCTAATGATCTTTGTGATGAAGGCTTGTGCTCTTAATTCAGTCTTTTGTTGTTGATGTTTATGAAGCACATGGACTATTCATGTGATATTACTATCTTCTAGGCCGCTTATCCTACTGGGTCGCTGGGGGAGAGGGAGCCTATCCCAGCAGTTATTGGGCAGAAGGCATATATATATACAATTAATTATCATAAAATTATCATAATTAGTGACTTTAAATTATCAACATATTATTTGTCACATGCACAGCTATATATATATATATATACATATATATACTATAATATATATATATATATATATATATACATACAATATGTGTGTGTGTGTGTGTGTCATAACTGAACTCATCATTGAAACCTTGTATCATTTTGAAGGTACAAAGTTTTGTACTAACAGCAACAAAAGGAGACTTTACAGAGGTTTTTTTCTGGTTCAGTCTAGTTCATATGTTCATTTGGTTTGCCTATCAGTCATCTCAGTAATAGTTTGACAGCCACTCTTGTGTGAGCACAAAGAGATTTCAGTTTACACCTGAGAAGTGTGATCAGTGGGCTGCTTCTGTTTGCTTTGCTCCTCAGATCTTTGCATATGCACTGCTTGCAGTGAGCAGTCCTGGAGGCCGTGTATGTCACGGCTTTGCTGTAGGCAGAACAGGCTAAAGAGTCATTGTGTTGACCTTTTGTGCTGTGGAAAAGGTCCGTGCCTGTCTGCGCTAATCAAAGGCCCGGGTGAGCCGCCTGCGTCCGTGTCCAATCGATTCCTGCTCTCAGTTCTTTTTCCTGCCAGCTGCTTGAGATATTACACTCGCCTGTTCCACAGCAACACACCCGCAGAAATTTAATCCGGCAAACACCATCCCCAAAGCCGTGTATCATAAATGCTTTTCCAGATTTTTTTCCCCTCAACCTTAGAAGGTTCAAACGCTCGTTTGTGTGTTTGTATTTGTGTGTGTGCACGCTCGCCTGAATGCATGAACATCTGTGTGTTGATCTCACGCAGAGAAACAGTTGACGGCCAGTAACTGCCTGGGGGTGCTGGCCATGGCCGAGGCTATGCAGTGCACGGAGCTCCACAACATGGCCAAAGCCTTCGCCCTGCAAAACTTCCCAGAGGTGGCCAGTCAGGAAGAAATCCTTAACATCTCCAAAGAGGACTTCATCAGCTACCTGTCCAACGACAGCCTCAACACTAAAGCCGAAGAGCTGGTCTATGAGACGGTCATCAAGTGGATCAAGAAGGACCCCTGTAAACGGGTACAGGTAAGAGATCCAGCCTTATATTTTCAGTGTTGAACAATATATATCTCAAATTTACTGGAAATCTCAAATTAAATTCAGAATCATTTTAAGAGTCAGATGCATATACTAAGGATTGGTGGTTTTGGTGGAATTGGAGCATTCATAAATGGACAGTATTCTCCCCCTCGTCCTAGCCTTAACCCTGCTCCAAATCCTAACCCCAACCCCACCACTGTTTAAAATCAACAGATAGTTTGTTAACAATTTGAACATCTGTAGGTAATCTATAGGGGATTATAGTGGACTATCCAGTTAAATTGAGACTAAACAATGAATAAACAACATAGACCAGGTGGAATCGAGGTAGACAGATGTAAAAATCTGCCACTTACCAAAAATAAATGGGTGACTCATGCACAAGCATGTCACCCGTTTAGTATTATGAAGTTTGTCCACATGGAGGACCTATTAGCACTAAAGTTGCCCTTGTGTTTGTGATGTAAAGAGAAGAAACAGCCATGAACCCACACCAGAAGGATCTCACAAGACCATATAAACTAATGATATCATAGAAATTAGGTCTAAGCTGCAGCAGGCCATGTTTTTTTGTAATATAATAAAATAAATATAATACGTTTATAAGATAATATAATACGTTTATTATTTTTTAGATATCTCCCAGATCTAGTGGAAAGAAGGTGTTTTGTTATTAATGATAGATATTTGTGAATGTGTGAAAATTTGACTGGTGTTTTTTTAAAAGGGAAAAAAAAATATAAATAAAATCACAAGGCAAGTGGCCACCAGAGAGGTGCCAAAAAAGGTTTTTGGGAATGCTGCCATATAGAAAATGTTTTGGTTCCCTACAAAAACTTTTTAATAGATTAATAGAATATTTTATTTTTGTAAAAGAGATGTGAGAGTGTGAAGTGCCTCTTTAAAGAATCTCCACATAATGTCAAAGTCTTTGCCAACTTTACCAACTTGAATGTACAATTCTATTTTTCTCCTAGAATTGTACATTCAACTCAGGGACCACTGAGGAAACTATTTTTAAGAATGTTTATAAAATACCCACAGTATGGATATATAATATATACACAGCGTGACTTGTCAAAAAAAGACATGCTGACGTGGGTCGCTTCGCTTTTTATGACTCTTTCCAGAAACCTCTACTGTCCTCCCACCCGTCTCTCCCACTTCACTTTGCTCAGCTCCAGTTTCCAGATCCCTTTTCTCTTCCACCTCAGCATGTTCTCCTTTTCACTCCAAACTCCAAATGCAAGCCAATTACCTGTCTAGACATAGTTTATGGATTTTTCATCATATTGCGATTTTGGGGAAGTGATGAAATCACAGAACAAAAAAACACCAAACTTCTCTATCATTGCTGGTAAACATTGTTGAATGCTGCATTGTAAGAGCAGGACTGTGTATTGTGATTGGCTGGTTGTGATGGCGGTGCTGAAAGTGTGGTGGGGGTGGTGATATGATATGAGTCCAGAATTTCTTAACGAGCAGGTGAAAAAGATTGACCTAAATACCTCGTGGGTGATTGTGGTGTTTTGAATCCTACACAGTTTTAATTCTTCATTTATTTTAGACATTTATATATTTATATATTTATTTATTTTATACATTTATATTAGTATAAAAATCAAAGAGCACCCTTCATTTATTTAATTTGAAGTCAAAACAGGCATTAAGTGCATTTTTCAGGAGATATTTCTGTGGAGATTGGGTGTAAGATAATCCATTTGCGTTAGGAAGGAGAAAGTCATAGGAAAACAAGAAAAAAGTAGGATTTTCCAAAACTGGAGCTCCAAAATTAATTAAAAGATACAGAGAAAATGTGACTCCTAAAACCTGTGCATGACTTGGTAAACAACCAAAACTGTCACCATCAGACAAACAGTAGTTAAAGCCTTCATCTTTGAGAGAGAAGTAGAAAATGCACACAACTTCTAAGACCGAACTTTGAAGATGTGGAAAAATATCCCTGGATTTCTTTGAAAAACTGAAACCAAGTCTCCTGAAAAGAATGGGAGATGTAGTAAAGGCAAAGAATGAACACATCAAGTACTAAAAACATGATAATATATTTAGTTGTTGAGGCTTCTGTGTAATTTCCTGTTAAATATGTTTTCGGCTTTATTTGTTGACATTGATCCATGAAATACTTGTACCTGTTTTGAATGGAAATAAAATAAAGAGGGTGGTCTCTAATTTTGCATAATACTGTATATGTATCTAACCAGGCACCCCACTTCACCTCAGATCACTGAAAATATAAAATATTGGTGTAAAATTAGAATAAAAGTAGTTCCTGTCATTCATGTGTTCTCCAACCAGTGATTATCAGAAGTGCGAGATTAAATCACTGTTCTGCTGAGCGAGTGATCACTTTGAGGTAATGTCACATAGACTGTTCAAAATTACAGCTTTTTTTCTTCCTAAGAAAAAAAGCTGTTAAAATCTGAGAACATTTCCCAAAACCTCTCGTAATGTTGGTGATGAAAGATTCAGGGTGCCATGCTTGTGGGATTTGAATAGATTACTGCAATAGCAATGCATTTAGTGTGCTTTACATGCTCTATTTCTGCAGTGTTAAGTCTGGGAATAGCTCGTTGATTACATGGTATAATCTGTGAGCGAGAAGGAGGAGTGACTGAGGAAACGGCGTGAATCAGAGTAAATCTGGGCATTAAACAGCGAGGGCCGATCAAGGCCCAGCTGGCCATCACAGCTTTACGTCCCAGCAATCAGCAAGTCATGCTCCAGATAGGCTGATGGAGCCGCTTCAGCAAAAAAGATCCACGAAATCACAGATTCCGGTTAAAGGCACAGAAAGCTATCAGCCTTAACTGCAGGCACAGTCTCACTGGTACCCTTTAAAAAAAATGCAGTGATTTCTGTTTTTTTTTCACTGGTTGCTAGAAAGTTTGTGAACTCTTTGGAATTATCTGATTTCTGCATAAATTAATCATAATATATAAGCACATTCTTATTTAACGTACAACACACTTTACATTATTCAACAAATGGTTAAAAATAAAGGCTGTTGGAAAAATTGTATAACCTTGCAGGGTAATTCCTGAAAAATCAAAGAAATCCACAATTTTTATTTTTTGTTCATCACAAGAATTTTGTTTCAAGAACAGTATGGTCCAATCAATAAGGCTTTCAGGGTTCAGAAAAACATTCCAATGAAAGTCTTAAGGCTGGAATTGGTTGCTCCTGGATTTTAAAAAGCTTTATTTTTGGGCCATATAAGATTACAAATGAAAATTCAGGACCTTTTCTACACTCCCTGAGAGTGGGTACCCTACAAAGATCAGTACAACAGCACACTTTAGAATCCTCAAATAACTGACAAAGAACCCTAAGGTGACAGCTAAGGATCTCCTGCACTTGATTAAAAAAAACACTGATAAAGAGTGGTGTTCATGGGGTATTACCACAGAGGAAATCACCACCGTCCAACAAAAGTTGAACTTGGCCTATTGGTAGATGTGCACAGCATTATGTTTGGAAGAAACAAAACCATGCATGCTGACATCAGAACTTCAGCCCAACTGTGAAGCATGGTGGAGGGAGTATAATGGTGTAGTGCTGCTTTGCTGACTGTGGTCTAGTATGATTTTTAGAAGAATGCTTGAAAAATTACATAATACTTTTGATTCTTTATCATTTATCTTAAACCATTTAGATAGATAGATAGATAGATAGATAGATAGATAGATAGATAGATAGATAGATAGGTGGGTAGGTAGGTAGATAGATTTTTCAATATGACTGGGGTGAAGATTACAGTTTAAGAGCCATTCATACAGGAATGCAGATGATTATAAAGGGTTCACAGACCTTTTTTCTCACAACTTTATTTTATAATTTACCGGACAGGACAAATTCCAAGCATTCTGTAGTGCGAAAAGGGTCAGTTTTGGTTCTTTGTTTTAACTTGTCATCCACACAGTACATTTTAGGTTGAATTAAAGTATGACTGAATGTTTTTTAGATAGTACTGGAAACTGTAAGTGTTTATATCACTTGTGTTTGCTCCTGAATGGAAAACACATGACAGCCGATCGAGTACACTGTTTGGAGTGCACTGAGCATTGCTGCGAAACTAGATCAGATGGCTTGAAAAGGATGCAATAGAGATTGATGCAGTGACCTGATGTTTATTTGGCCTAAGATGGCCTCTGCTGAGCAACAGTCTGGAGAAGAAATCAATCTGAATCCAGGTGAAAATGAGCTCCGCTACTTCACCCTCCTCCCATGAGACTTAGTCTATGAAATCGCAAATCCAGCATAACACTGAGACAGAACTCAAAGAAAAGACTCCTGTTTATTCACGCGTTCTCACAGTCTCTCCATCTCTACCTCTCTAAAGTTTGTTTTCGGATTTTTCTTACTTCTCTTGCTTTTACTCCCAATATCAAACAGTTTCCCTGTGATTTGGCAGACTCGTAAAATTCTCAGAATTTATTCTATGGTGTCTCTTGGGTGCTTTGTTTGATTTTACCAAATACTTATATTTACGTTGTGTGGATTCTAGAATGCTCCGTATGCATTACAACAAGAAGGTGCCAAGTAAGGGCTTTTTACTCAGATTTATATATATATATTTATATATATATATATATATATATAATAATAGGTTACTGGCAAAACGTCAGTACACGATCAATACACATTGTAAATGACTAAAGAGTTTACATGCAGTTTCTGCATTTATTCTGCATACTCCCTAAAGAGAAACACTCATATGGGGATATATTCTTCTTTTTAAATTATGTAATTAGTTAAATCTCAGTACCATCAGTGCCGTTATTTAGGTACTGAATTTGTTTCATTACGCTGACAGTGTAATGGTTGGTTGTTTATTGTATTGCCTTGTGTTGATTGTAGTTCTTTTGATTTGTCCCTTGTAAGCTGTTCTTTACTTTTGTGTAGCTTATGTGTGTGTAGATATGTGTGCGAATGTATGGCAGGATGAGTTTGCTGAATACACACTC